ACACCTGTCTCTCAAACCGAGACAATGGGCTTAGACTGTTTTCTCCCAGCTTGTTAGAACTGGTAAAGACAGAGTCAAAGGATGATGTATTTTGTCACTTTCTGTTACAGCAACTACTGTTTAACTCCTGTGGCTGGTAGACTGTATCCATCAGACTTTGATCACTGTAGAGACAGACAAGTTATTTAAAAATCAAAAGCTATTAAAATGCAATTAAGGATCAGCCAAAACCTGAAATCTCTATACAGAATTTAACTGTATCTTTCATCTATTTAGTTTGACATTTCTCCAAATTCTTTGAAGTTTCAAACCAAAGAGTTCCCAGCCACTGGAGCCACATAAGGCTGCAACAATTAAAAGTAGTCTACAGCTGCATAGGAATCCAACATACACCACCTTAGATAATCACTGCGAAGAGCAAACAAGTTCAAAGGAAAAATGCCAGAAGAGTACCAGTTCTAGTACATAATTTACATTAGATATACAGTTTGTTTTAAACCCTTGCATGTTCAATAGATCAACTCATACAGTGAGGTCAGAAGAACCTCAACCTATCACAGCCACACAGTCTAACCAGCAGGTACTAACTCCTGGATATGCTTCATAACAGTGTATTATAGTCTTGCTTGGAAGCTTATTTAGGCTCTGCTTTAATTCCTTGTCAGATAGCATCCTTCTCAAAGCACCACTTTACTATCTACATCTTGGGCCTACTGCAAACAGAAGTCTACTATTAGGCAGGTGAGATTAACCTTTATTAAAATATAGACTTAAACAGAACTACATGGAATTTGAACTGAATAGAAGCTTCAGAACATGCATTAAGTGTCTTAATTTGGTGGTGGCATGTCAATTATCTCATCCAGGGTAGCAAGGAAGTCAGTAGTTGATTGCAGCAAGTCTGGAAGTTAAAAAAAAAAAACAAATCAGTTTCTCAACCTCAATTTACACTAACAACATAAGCTAGCTCCCAGTGCCTCCCAATCCCACCTACCTGATCGGTTTGCAATGCACTGCACAAGACTGCTCAGTGTGCTGCTTTTTGCTGGGGTAATATTCTTTCCAGCAGCTAGTATATGTTTTAGATTTGTGCTGCAAACAGTGGTGATAATTCAGGGATGTTTTAGTTATTGCTGAGTAGTGCTCACACAGTCAAGGCCTTTCCCGCTCCTCACTCCAGCAGTGAGCAGGCTGGGGGTGCACAAGGAGCTGGGAGGGGGCACAGCCAGGACAGCTGATCCCAAATGGCCAAAGGGATCAGCTGTCCCAGACCATATGGCATCATGCTTAGCATATAAAGGTAGGGAAGGAAGAAAGGAAGGAGAGACATTTGGAGCTATGGCATTTATCTTCCTAAGTCACCGTTACATGTGATGGAGCCTGGCTGTCCTGAGGATGCTGAACACTTGCCTGCTGATGGGAAGCAGTGAATGAATTCCTTGTTTTGCGCGCATGCATGACCCTTGCTCTGGTTATTAAACTGGTTTTATCTCAAACCCATGAGTTCTCACATTTTGTCCTCCAATTCCATTCCCCAGCTCACAGCAGGGAAGCAAGTAAGCAGCTGTGTGGTGCTCAGTTGCAGTTGGGTTAAGCCATAACTCAGCAACATCCCTTTGAGACCACTACCTGTACTATGAGAGTTCAGCAGTTGCATTCAGCTTGACTATATACCAAAAGCTGTTAGATACAAATGTGCTGCTCTGGTAGTTAGGACAGCAACAGCAAATCATTAGCCAACTGGCTTCCCTCCCAAACCACTCATGAGCACTGTGTTTCCACTTACTGGATTCCCATGAAATCTCTTCAATCTTCACAGGTGATGGAATCATGTTCATACATTTGTCATATGTCCTTTCAAACACCATGAGAGGAACACCACACAGGTCGATATTGCTGACTTTGTGCTCCTCAGGAAGATCAAAAGTCTCAAAGTCTGTTTGAGAAAGATAGATTGTAAGTGTGCAGTGCCCTAGAAAGCAGCAAATTCTCTTAGATTAAACAGGAGCAGGTCCAAAACAACACAACAGTCCCCTCTTATAGGGTATTTATTTGTAGTTACACCTTAGTTGCCCATGAAATCCCATACACCAACACTTATCAAAAGACTGGACTTCATAACTGCTAATGTAAAGCAGAAGCTTTCACTAACTTCAGCAAGCACAACATCTATGTGTCACCCACACTGAAGTTGTCTTTGGCATGGTATTTTTCACACACATCCACATGAAGAGGAAAGCTTTAAGGACACACTTTGAGGGATTGAGTCTGCAATGGACTGTCCTACGAACAGCTTTAGAAGCTCCATCTTCAACTATTATACACAGCAGTAGGAATCTCTTCAGTTACAGATTACCATCCCAGCACACATTCAGCAGTCCATTCTTCAGTACTACTTTTGTACTCCTTTGAATACTAATCTACTAGCCACTATTTAGTGAATTAAGAGGCTGAAGCATAAGTACTTAGAACTAGTTTCCTGACACCACAATAATGGATTCAGACTAACATCTGTGGCACAACTCTCACAGTTAGAAATACTTAAACAAGCACCTTTATGTTTCAAGAAAGGACTCAGGAGAAATGGCTTGTGTGCCACAATAGCTTGAGCAAAGTCTTACAACAATGTCAACACTTGTGAAAACTTTACTGTTCAGTTTAATAACCACACCAATGGTTCTTACCTCGAGGATCATAGGGAAACATATTTTCTATTTCTGGCCAATGTTCTTCAGCCACTGAACTGCACTTTTCTACTCCAGCCTTTCCAGTAGTCTTAAAAAGAGGAAGTCACATTATTTGAGCTACTGTAGTACCTTCATAGTGGCTTTCCTGTGCTATTCACATCTACAGACAAGCATCCTGACATACCATCCCCACTTAGGCCTGAATTCTAATACCTTCAACACAAATAAGCTGGAGGTGAGCAAATGTTTCAGCTGAGTTTATGTAATGCAGTATTGTACATGGTGGCAACAAACAACTGCATTGGAACATTTAACCTCATATTAAGCTCCTAATACTTAACACATGAACAAGACATTAACTCAGACTATTTTATCTAAAGCTGATAACATGGGATAAAATGTTTCTAAAATCATGGGAGTTAAAGTAAGCCTTAGTGGCAAGCTAGCTGAAGTAGGCCTCAGTGGCAAGGTAGCTAAAGTAGGCCTTAGTGGCAAGGTAGCTAGAATAGGTCTTAATGAGAAGAGTGATTATTATCTTAGCAGGTCGATGTGTACCTGTGCAAGTACACCCGGGTACCTATCTGTACGTACCCCCTAAATAACAGATAATTATACCACCATCATGGAAAAGGGGGTTCAAACTCATGCTCGGGTGAAATACAACAATGATGGAAGGGGGACTGAAACTCATGCTTGGGTGAAGCATAACAAGGGTGAAAGAGAACTCGAATCATGCTTGGATGAAATCAATAGAACAATAGCAAAGTAATGATTAACATATGATTATACCATGGTTATGTAAGAGAAGAGTATAAAAATGTATCCATCTCAGAACCATGTCGGAGTCAGATTTGGGTCTGTACCCCGACTCCCAGAGCTCTTCAATAAAAGCACCCATATAATCATTCCGTGATTATGTGTTTTCTACGCTAACAAAGCCACTTATTTATCATTAGGCACCCTCTAAGCTGTGCCTAGGTAGGTGCATTGCTTTGGGCTAGGATAGCTATTTTTCTTCCTAGTAATCCATATGAGACTATGTAGTAATCCATATGAGACTATGTTTTGGATTCCCAGTGAAAACAGCATTGATAACACAGCTGGTTTAGCTATTGCTGAACAGTGTTACACAGAGGCCAAGCCTTTTTTGCTTCTCACAAACCCACCATGAGCAGGCTGGGGGTGCACTAGAACTTGGAAGGGGGCACAGCCAGGACAGCTGACCCCAACTGCCCCAAGGGATATCACATACTGCATGACATCATGCTCAGCAATGAAAACTGATGGGGAAGTACACCAGGGCAAGAAATTGGTCTTTGTTTTCTTTGAAATTTTTAATTATTAATTTGTCTTAATCTCAGCCCATGAGTTCTCACTTTTACACTTTCAATTCTCATCCTATCAAGGGGAAAGTGAGGGAACAGCTGTGTGGTGTTTAACCTGCCAGGGTTAAGCCACTACAATAGGTAAATGATGCATTCCCCTTCATGTAAGTGTGCTGTACTCACTTTGTTTGCAGTGCAAGGCTGATTTTTCTGCTTTATCTTATCCATCTTGCTCGAGACTCCTTTAGCTCTATTCACATTCCCAAGAGCCTTTCTGACAGAGTGAGATGCAACTGGAGAGGTACTGATTGATTTTTTAGGAAGTGGTGTATTAACCTGTGTTTTTTCAGATAAGCCTTTTGCTAGAGGGGAGGAAGAAAAGCAAACCTGAACACCATATCAACCCTGAAGTTTGATTCAGTAAGTGCATATGATGAAAAACTAGTTGTCATAAAAATCACTGTTCACCACTTATAACACATGAGCACAAGCCATATGTATCTCTGACAACAGCACAGGGTTATTTTCATTGTTACAGTAATTAATGAGCCTACCAGAATTGGTTAGGTAAGTAGATACACATGAATAAAAAACTACTAGCATTGAAAACTGAAAAACAAAACATGATAACCCTTCCCTTAATCCCTCAGGGCAATATATACGCACAAGATCCTGCAGGGAATTTTTGCTGATTCTTAGTAGGACCAACTTCACCATTCTCTGGATCAACAAAGATCAGCGTTGCCATCTTCAGGTTGATGAGACCACCCTGTAAAGTCTGTACAGGAAGAAGAGGAAGTCATTCTTGTGATTTCTTCCAACACAGCACACTTTTTTAAGCAAGCCACACTAAAGACACCACAGTTGTCATGCCCTGGTTCCCAGAGGAGAGGGAACAAGCCCGTATTTCACACCGTTATAGAGCAGCTTAGCTACAGACCCTCATTTTTGAGGGCACCCTTAGCTCATGTGGAAGGCTTATAGTCCCAAAGGAGCTTGTGTAAGTCTGGGAAGCTACAAGGTGTCACCAGCAGTCCCACACGCAAAGTTCCCATACCCTTAGATGTTTGCCACTTCTCTGTAGTGTTCAACTGCTTCCTCAGGACAAAAAAAGAGATTATCTCCCAGCTTAGCTCAACGCGTAGCACTCGAACAGCTGAAAGTAATGCCAATAATTTTACTAGCAGAGATATTTTCACCAGAAAAATAAACCTTCAGAGCAGACCCGATACAAACACATCACTTCATTGCTAGTTTCCAACCGCCCCAAGACAGCAGGTCTGAGCACAGTTGCACTGCCACGGGCAGCTCGTTACACAGGTGTGCTAAGGATTCCCTTTTGGGAGAGTTCTGCAGGAAAACTCCTTCTACTGACACAACTTCAAACCCAGAGCTGAAGCACAGAGTCAGAGCAAGACGTTGCAACCCCCAGAGCACAGCGCTCCCGTGTTCCAGCCGCCCGCCGGCTCCCGCGGGGGGACCGGGCTGTGACCGCCCCGC